CTCCCCCCCACAGGCAATAAGACGTCCAAAAGGGTACTTTTCTAATTAGATTTTGTCTTTGAAACAAAGTGGTAAAGAGAGAATCACCTCTTTACCTAACTTCACGTTATTAATCACAGCCTTCCCAAATGCCTTCCAACAAGACATCTGCTGCAAAATCAGTTTGCTCTGTAAACTATCACCCAGTACAAGAAAATACTGTTATGTTTTAAAAGTCGTTTGTGGACCGTGTAGCATAAGCATTAATCTAACAGGTAGCCCTCAGGACATGGTGTGCTGCTTTTCACAGCTGCAGTCGGCCCTGCCGTCGCCTCTGCTTTAATCTGCCGTGGAAGAAGTGCATCCAGTGCTCCTTGGAAGCCAGGCTTGTGGGCTTCCTCTCACATACTCCGCGTGAGCTGTCCGGAGGCACCAGTGTCTAGAAAAGGACACCATGCTTGCAAAGATGGTCAGAGGAGGAGAGGAAAACCCCCAAGGAGGTGGTTTCCACAGTGGCCACAGCAGTGAGCGTAATCATATAGGACTGTGTGCGTGGTGCACGAGATAGCTCTGAGTTGGAGCATCCTTATGGATGCAGAAGCTGGGCTCAGAGAAGCTAAATGCCGTGTGTGTCCAAGGACACAGCTAATGAGGGGCAGTGTCGGGAACTGAACCCAGGCCCTCCTCGCCAGAGCCCATGCTGCTGTCTAGTCCTTATAAGGCGCTGCTGTATGGAGGGGAAGAGACGAGTTACACACACATCCCCTGTTTGCTGGGCAGCCGCATCAGCGGTGAGTGAGAGCCCCCGATCTCCAGGCGTGATTAAGCCGGAGGCTTCCCGGAAGTGATGGGCTTGTGCTGATGAGCGGGACTTATCTGTGTGGTGAGGGCCCGGGCCAGGGCGGCCAGGGTCAGGGGATGAGTTGTGGGAACAGTATGTGCAAACGCAGAGGGCTTGGCACCGTCCTGGGGCTGGCGGCTGACAGGCTGAGCCCCAAGATTCATCTTCCTGGCAGACTTTCCTAAACACAGGCAGATGCAGCCCAGGCGCAATGACTCAACGAGCCTTGAAGCTGGTTGCAGCCTTGTCTGTGGGATAACCCCACAGGGGAGCCCCTGCTAGATCGGGGTGCAGCGCTGTGCAGGATGGGACAGTGGTAGGCACATAGTGATAAAGGGACCCTAAGCTTTCAGAAAGTGTCATCCAAGTGCACGTTCCACCTCAGACTGGCTGAGCAATCACATGGGCACCACTTGCTGACTCCTGGACTCAGTCTTACTCCTTGGGAAATGGGACTGAGAACGCCACTGACTGACTCCTAAGAGCTCAGGGGGATGCAGCAGAGGCCTCACTCCCATCACTTCTGTTCCCTGGCTGTTGACTGTTGACTATGGACTTGGGAGCTCTGTAGCACCCCTCCTCGCCTCCACAGTCAGCTTTCTGGGATGGTCTAGGAGATCTTGGGCCTTTATGTCTGCTGTGGTCTCATGAGCTTGGGTTTGCAACTTCAGCAAAGGAAAGAGATTTCAGAGTGTTTGTGCCGTCTTGTCCCGCTGACACGGTGCACATTTCAAGTGATTTTTTTTTAGTCCAGAGATGGCCAGTAGTCAAGAAGGCTTTAAAGATGAGACTTGTGTCTAGCAAGGCCCTGGGAAGCCAGGGAGCAAATACACAGAGCTGGGTCCTGTGAGGGTCTCGCCCTTGATTCCTGAGTGTGACCAGCCTCCTGACATGCAGGCCCCTCTGCCCCTCCGAGGTGGTGAACCAGGTAGATGGAAGCTCTGTGGGAAAGGGGTCGCAGAGCCCAGCAGCTTATCACACATACGATTTATCACGACAGGCAGAGGCTGGGTAGGTGCCAGGGCCCAGGATGGAGACAACACACTGGCCAAACTGTCATTTGACCCAGGAGCCTCCAGCAAGCCCAGTGGTCACACAGCAGAGACCCTGTGAAAAGCATTGAAGGCAAGACTCGTGGTTTCCAGCTGAGTGGTTTGTATGGAGGAGGCCACCCCTGCAAGGCCCGTGAAGGAGTTTCAGGTCCGCAGGGGATGCACTCCTGGAGCCGGCAGGACGTGGAAGAAGAGGGAGCAGAGCCCCTTCTCTGCTTGCCGGCTCGTGCCTTGAGCTGGGTACTTAAACCCCGTGGACCTAGGTCTCCTCATCTGCAAAGTAGGAGGAATAAGATTCAAGCTCTGGATAATCGGAAGATGACAGGAGACGTGGAGGGGAGAGTGTCCCCTCGGCCAGTTCACGGTGGGTCCTGCTAGCATTTCCTCTCCCCCTTCCGCCCTGCCCAGGGCATGCCTTGTGCTGGTGTGTATCTCATTTGAAAAGAGAGCACTTGGCCGGTAGGTCGTTGAAGGTTTGATGGTTTGAACTCAGCCAGCAGCTCCAAGGGAGAAAGAGCTGGTGCACTCGTCTGGTCAAGATTACAGCCTAGGAGAACCTGCCATAGAGGGTCTCCATGCATCAAAAATGGGTCGATGGCACTGAACGACAACAACCTCACAGAGTCCGTTGAACTGTTTACTTTCTAAACTCAACAGTGTATTTGAGATCTGCGTAGACTGACACATCTAGCCCGTTCCTTTTACCTGCTGTATAGTATTTCCACCAGAGACAGTCCATGCCTACTGCTGGGCTTCACCACTGGACTTGTTAGCTGGGTCCCACGGTCATCTCAAGTCCCTCGTGTTCCCTGCCCGTGGGATGTCCTAACCCCAAACTGCGTAAGTGTAGAGTGACGCACACTGAGAGTTGTGGTGACGCAGATGAGGGCTCTGTGATGTCAGCTGCTCTCGCTTCATCTCCCATCTCAGCCCAAGGCCAGTGTCCTGGGATGCCTCGCCTCTGAGCCTGACCTCCTGCCGCTAGAACATTGTCATATATGGTGATACTGCAGACAGGACAGGAGCCGGGGGCCTTGCGGGCTTCTGGTTGGAGTCCCAGTGGGTGAGCACACACAGAAGGCCTTCCCCAGCCCCAGGGCTCTGAGCCCTGCAGACTGCCCCAGAGGCAGGCAGTCTGGCCCACTGCAATGCCACGCCCCTCCGCGTTGGGCTATTTTTATCCTCAGGGCATTCTTGGTCAGGACCCTGGACAGCTGCCAGGGGGTACAGAGATGGGAACTAGTGTGTTCTCAGACCATGCTGGCTTGCCCTCGTAGCCCCTGCCTCCAGGGATGCCCAGCTCCCAGGCCTGCCCCTCCACTGCTCCTGAGCAGTTAAACACCAGACAGATGAAACCCACTGCTGTGAGGTCAACTCCAACTCCCAGGGGTGCTGGAGGACGAAGGAAAACCCCCCAAAGGTTCTCCTCAGTGGTTGTCAAGAGCAGGCTGCCTCCTCTTTCTCCGACCCGAGTAGATAGCACCTTTGAACTACTGACCTTTTGGTTACCAGCCCGACTTATCCATTGTGCCCCCAGGAACCTTCATCTTGTCTGGTTGGATAACAATCCGATCACCTTGAGCACTGAGTCTGTCACCTGCCATTTGGCCAGGTCACTTGGTGAATGAAACCTTGATTTATATCCTAGGCAAAAAGTTGGGGAGGTTTTTCCCGCCGAAAGAACTGGGAGTTCAGAAAGAACATAAGTGACATTGATCCAAGACGGAGACTCCACCATTCTCAACCCCCACTTCCCCTCCTCCCCTCACTGTCTCGGTCAGCTGTGGGGTTTCCTCAACTCCTCTCCAAAAGCTGACATTCCCAGAGACCTGGGACAGTGTCCTTTTTACCTTCCCATCCCTAGACAGTACCCCAGGGTCCAGCATGTACAGATACACACCCCCCTGCATCCCCAGACACTACCCCAGGGTCCAGCACACACGTACACACACTGGCACCCCCAGACACTACCCCAGGGTCCAGCACACACGTACACACACCAGCATCCCCAGACGCTATCCCAGGGTCCAGCACACACATACATGTGCACACACACGGATCACACAGATACACCCCTGCATCCTCAGACACTACCCCAGGGTCCAGCACACACATACATGTGCACACACACGGATCACACAGATACACCCCTGCATCCTCAGACACTACCCCAGGGTCCAGCATGCACATGCACACACATAGATACACCCAGACAATGCCACAGGGTCCAGCACGCACGGATACACACCTGCTGCACACGTGCACACACACAGACACCACGGCTTGAGTCTGGTGCCCCTTAGTAACCGCAGCAAGTTACTAAGAAGTGTGTCTGTGCACAGGACCTGTACCAGAAGGCAGAGGGCTATCTAGGGCAGTGGAGGCCGAGGGCCGTCTTCACTGCAGGATGGCAGTGTTAGGACAAGGCGTGGACACCTCGGGCTCTGTAGGAAGCTCATCCACAGCCACTCCCCACGACTGTGACCCGGAGTTGTGCCTTGCAGCCCCATTCTCCCTGCCCAATGCCACGTCCTTAGAGTGACCGCTCAGCAGAAACCAGGAGGTGGGCCCCTGCCTGAGCTCACATCCTGCAGCCTCTGTCCAGAGCCCTTGGTGAACCTCACTCCCAGGAGAGCTGGACACGCTGCCCCCCATCTTCCTTCTGTCCCATGGTACTGCTGTTGGGCCTGTCAACCGAAGGTGATTTGTCCAAACTCTGATAGGTTAACCAATACAGATGGACCTCATATATATCTCTGGTTTGCTTCCAGACCACCGCAGCAAAGCAAACCCAGTGATGAAGTGAAACACTCCCCTTCTTTTGGTTTTCCAGTTCCCATGTTGGCTCCTCCCACCTTCAGCAGCAGTCTGTAAAGGCTGCAGTAGCACGGTAGCCAAGCTGGACAGCTTGCACTCTGAAGTCCATCGAAGTCCATTAGCATCTTCGCAACATGCAGGCCTCCACTGGCTGACCGGGTGGTGGCTGTGCTCCGGGCTGGGTGTGACGCCTGGGCCTCCTGCGTCGAAGGCGAGGCTTCCCCCAGTGCCCGGTCATTGTCCTTCACGGTCTGTTGGTGGGTGACACCGGTGGAAGAGCTGGCGTGAGAGGAAGCTCACGCTATGTGATGATGCAGTGGCAGTCAGCCCTGCCCATGCCTGTGGACGACTGGAGTCTGACCGCGGACTACCCAGTTTGCCGCTGCTGTAAGGAATCCTGTTGTGTGAAATGACTTTGTTGATCTCTTTTTGGGGCACAAGACAGAATAGATTCATGCTCTAATCACATTTAGGTAGGAACTCTGACTTGAAATGAGATAATATCAAACTTCACTCTGGAGAAAACAGTGCCAGGATGCCCTCTTTGGGCTTGGCAACCTGCCCTCTGGAAACTGCTCTAACCCCTGATCCACCACTTCTTCCCTGTGCTTGGGTGGACTTAGCTCCTCCGAGCCTCAGTTTCCCCATCTGTGCAGTGGGGACCTTGGTGCCGGCCCGGTAGTTTGTCCTGTATTCACGGGTCATTTTCTCCTTCCCTGCAGAGCTCTCCAGCGCACAGCTCCACCCGCAGGTCCTGCCATGAGAGGCGTTGCCAATGGCCTTCTCCCCCTTGGGCTGCTGTCGCTGCTGTGTGGGGTGCAAGGCTTCCTCCTGCCCAATGCCACGCACCTGGAGAGGCTGCTGAGCAAATACCGGGGAGACAGCCCTCACGCCCGAGCCCGCAGAGCCATCCCGCTGGCCGACAAGGAGGAGATCCTCATGCTGCACAACCAGCTGCGTGGCCAGGTGTACCCCCCGGCCTCCAACATGGAGTCCATGGTAAGCCCTGGTGGACGCAGAGATGCCCAGCAGCAGGTCGGCTCCTTGTCCACTGTTCCAGGGTCCCTCTTCCTCACCCAACTCAACAGCAGTGTCTTACAGCTCTGTTCCCCGGGCCTGGGACAGAGCTGGGCCGGGAAGAGGCCAGTCCTCGCTCCGGTTCCTGCTAGCTGTGACCCTGACATCTCCTTAAGCATCTGAGAACCCCTCTCTGAATTTACCGAGAGCCCTGGCAGCGTGGAGATTAAACCAAGAGTTCCGTGGTTTGAACCCACCTGCCGTTCCCCAGGACGGGTTGAGGCACTCTGCTTCCATATTTACAGCCTTAGAAACGCTCGGGTTGGTCATCCTGGGCCCTGTGGGGTGTGATGAGTCAGTTACCACGTCTTTGATGTAGTGAAAAAATGGGAGGTTGTTGACAGCAGGGAAGTAAAAGCCCAGTTAAACTGTGTGCTCCTTGCCCATGGTAAATGGTACCTCCGTGCTCATGGGTTAACCAGCCCTGTGAAGACGCACCTGCAGGTCCGCGGGGGCCCAGGCTGGGACACATCCCTGTGCATGCATGCTCCGCTGCTCTGGCCCTGGCCCTGACCACTGCTCTGTCCTCTCCTGCAGACCTGGGATGAGGAACTGGAGCGGTCCGCGGCGGCCTGGGCGCACGAGTGCATCTGGGAGCATGGTCCCACCAGCCTGCTGGTGTCCATCGGCCAGAACCTGGCTGTCCACTGGGGCAGGTAAGAGCCACAGGGGCCCACTCCTGTTCTGTGTGCCGGGTCAGTGCTGCCCACCACTGAGAGAGGTACCACCCTTCTGCTTCTGTGGGGGCCACCGTGACCAGATGGACACTTTTAAGAACAGAATTTACTGCTTCGGTTCTGGCTCTCCAAAGTCCAGATTTGGGGCACCACTCCCTGCTGTAGCCTTGGGTCTTTCCTTTGGCTTTTTCAAATTATGATGTGGATGAAGATTTACAGGGAGACTTGGTTTCCTTTTCGCCCTTTGGACACGTGTCTTTGTGATGTCCCAGGATCTGAGTTTAAATCCCCTTGTAACAGCATTCTTCCTACCTCTCCCTATGATCTCTATTTCCAGTCATCCTTTCCCACTCTTCCTTTCTTCCAAGCCTTATCCCTGTGCAAATGCTGCCTTTTTGACTTTCTGGGATGAGTTGTTTGAAGGAGTGAGGGTATTTCGCATGTTATTTTTCACTTTATAGTGTTGGTTGTTTGGCTGAAAGTTGGGCCATGGGGGTGAGTTCAGTTCTATTCACGGGCATTGCTTGGGTCCCTGGCTTCTAGACAGACCCTGATTAGTGTCTCCCATGTTGGTAAGACACTCTTCTGAAGACAGTGTTCAGATCAGTCGTCCAGGGGTCGCAGTAAGTTGTAGTCGATTCGATGACTCCTAACAACAACATTCAGAAGGACTGAAGACCCAGCTTGTGCCAGTGTGGCCCTTTGACCCAGCTGATCACCAGAAAGGGTCACGGCCACAAGGATGTGGGCTGAGACTTCAACAGACCATTTGAGAGGACACTGTTTGGCTTCTAACACTGCCCGTCCCATTGACATGAGATGCTGAGGTCCAAGAACAGGTATGAGACCTGGAATTTGAGCCTGCTCCCCTGACTCCAGGCCACGATTACCGAACCAACAGCTTATCAGCCTTGGGGTTTCCATTCCAACTTGCAGAGGGAGTTCTAGGGCCTCGGTGGCTGGTGCCAGGAAGGGGTCAGGTCAGCTGGGGAGACGGGAGCACTGCCTTTCTGGCCCTGGTCACTGCGGCTCCTTTGTCACCAGCACATCTGAGTCCTTGCCTCCTTGTCTGGATAGAGGGGGGCTAACTTCTCTGAGCCTCCCTCCCAGGTTTCCTGGCCTGACAGCCCCTTGGCCCCCTGCCTAAAGGATGTTATCTTAACTGCTATCTGTTACACGTTGCTACTGACTCCAGAGGAAATGTGGACTGGTCTTCTCTTCTGAGCCCTGGTTGGTGAAAACAGTTAACATGCCCAGCCGCTAACTGGCAAGTTAGACACTCAGATCCATCCAGAGGAGCCAAGGAAGAAAGGCCTGGCTATTGACTTGGTAAAAGTCTACAGAGTGCAATTCCACTCCGTCACACACAGGGTCGCCAGGAGTCGGAAGCAACTCAGATGGCAGCTGGCTTCGGCTTTGAGATGCACCCGGGGCCGAGGGCTGCATCTCAGTCCTCAAGACTATGGTCAGGACAGCGACCGTGTAGCTCATGAAGACGGAGCCCTCAGACCCCGCTCCCAGCCCCATGTCAGACTGCCCAGACAGGGAGGAGGTGGACAGGATTTCAGGCAACCGAGCCCTGGTGATACAGTGATTAAAGCAGCCAACCAAAAGAGATCAGTAGCCTGGACCCACCAGCGGCTCTGAGAGAGACGAGGCTGGAACCCACCAGCCCTAGAAGCCCCACGGGTCAGTTCTCAGGGCTTTGGGGCGCTGGGTCAGAATCGACTCCACAGCAGCAGGTTGAGTTGGTTGAAGTGGATTTCAACATACTTTCAAAACTTACACATTTTTACTTCCAACCTCATCTGTCAGAGTAGAACTGCCCTGTCCTAATATAGTGTGCTGCACATTACACTGCTCACCAAAAGGTTGGCAGTTCGAATCTACCACCAGGCAGCCTCTACAAGAGAGAAAGACAGCTTCTTCTTGTGAAGGTTTACAGCTTTGGAAGCCCAAGGAAGGGGTCACCATGAGTCCAAAGCTGCTGGCCCGCAGTAGGTGGGCATTCCAGAAGCAGACCATGAGGCCTTTCTCCTGCAGAACTGAGGGACCTTTATTAGAGGCCGGGCACTCAGTGCACTGCGCCCCCCAGGACAAAGCCAGGCGGGTGCTACAGCAGATATCCGTGGGGAGACTCTGTGGGAACAAAGCGCCTGGAGGTTTTCCCCTTGATGACTCTTGCTTGTTAGAAGAACAGTCTTCCGAGTCTGTGGCCTTACACCCTGGACGCTCCCGGTCGCGTGTGATCTCGGAAGCTAGGCCAGGTCGGCATTGCTTAATACTTAGGCAGAAAACCCCAAACAGGCCTTACGATAACATTGAAAGAAATGTCCCAAGGGAGGGGACTCCAGGTCCACGCTCTGGGCTCAGCTTTCCGTTTTCTGGGCTTCTGCATAGCATTTGGCAACTTGCCGACATTTTTATGTCGCTGATAGTGTTGGCTTCCCGTTCTTCCCCTCCCCCTTTCCTGTACGATGTCAGTTTCCTGTTGCAACGCTGTCTGGTGATCATTTTATGAAGGCTGCCGGCATCTCGTCATTGGATGCATGTGGGTTTTCCCCTCAGCTGAGCGGTTTCGGCAGGAGCACTTCTGAGAAGGCTTGATGGGCCAGAGAGAACAAGATCGCCCCTTCTCCTGATGTAGACTCGAATCCCTGGAGGGTGCAGATGCTTAAGGAGCTGTGGATGGAAAAGGCAGAGCTTCAGGCCCACCCAGAGGTGCCTCCAAGGAGAGGCCTGGCAGTCAGCTTCTGAAAAGCCGGTCATGGTAAATCCAGAGGCGCGCCCTCCTGCTCCGACACACTGGGCACCCGCAGTGGTGTGTGTACCGTCACCCGATGATGCACGTTGTTCATTGGGATTTCCATTGCCCTCCACGGTCTTACCACCCCCGGCATCTAAACAGCTCTGGTGTTGCTGTGGGTAAAAGCATTCAGCTGTTGGCAACAGAGTCAACCGTTCATGTCCACCTGCCGCCACTCAGGAGGAAAACGCGGCACCTGCCTTGACCGGACCGACAGCCTTGGAGCCGAGGCGGCTGCGCCCCGTCCTACGGGGCTGCTGAGTCGGAGTCCACGTGTGGGTTTGGGCTTGGCTTTTCCGTGGCATCCGAGCTCTTGTTGCCCCATCAGCGTGGTACGTCCTTGACCTTGAGTCCAGGCAGGCAGGCATGGTCGGGAGTTTCCATTTGCATCGTAGCTCTAAGCTGTGTGAGGTTCCTTCCACATGTGGTTCCAGGAAGTGATGGTGCTCCCCGAACACGTCACTGCCCACCACCGTCAGCGCGAGTCTCCGAGCCCTCTCACTGCCTTGCTGACCACCGCTGTGCAGCGCGGTCACTTCCCCGCCCCGCCTTGTGAGCTGGCTCACTCTCCCTCTCGGCCTTGTTTTCTTTGGATCACTTCGCTGTGGTTTGGCGATGTGGTGGTGAATTCAACAATTCATTCAGCCGTCTTGTGACTTTGGCTGCAGCCTTCTCAGTGTGACAGCACTGTCCTCACATCTGTGAAAAGGTGCTTGTTTCCATGCTGCAGGTTGGTGACATTGAGAGATTTTTTTTTTTACTTTCTTTTTTTAATTATTATTATTCATTTTAATGTAAGTTTACAGAGACTTTGGATTTCCATTCATTCATTGTTGCACTTTTCTCCCTGGCCAACCTCCCCCGACCCCGTCCCACAGTTCGCACTTCTCTTTGAAAAGTAAAAGAAAAACTCTTTCATTGTTATGCAATCTTCCCCAAGTCCACTCCACGATGCAGCCTTTCTTCTGGACTCCTGTCATGATAATAATACCTAATCATATATCCCTTTTAAACAGTTCTCTCCCGCATCTGTGTCAATGCAGTATATTTATCCTCTCTTTCTCAGTCTCCCCTCAACCCCAATGTCAGTCCCATCTTACAACAGAGGCCCTATGCAGTATTTGTCCTTTTGTGACTGAGATATCTCACTCAGCATAATATCCTCCAGAGTCACCCATTTTGTATAATATTTCATGAGTTCCTTGTTTTTTACTGCAGCGTGGTATACCAGAGCTTCTCTATCCATTCTTTTGTTGATGGGCACTTGGGGTTTTTCCAGCTCTTTGCTGTTGTGAACAAAGCTGCAGTAAACATGGGTGTGCATATATCTGCTTGGGTGGCGGTTATGATTTTCTCTAGGGTATATTCCCAGTAGTGGAATTGCTGGATCAAATGGTATTTCTGTTTGCAACTTTTTGAGAAAGCGCCATACCACCTTCCATAATGGTTGCACCATTGAGAGATTTCTGCATCTCCACTGAGTTTTGTTTGTTTGACAAAGCCAGGTGTCATCAGAGAGAAACACAGGGGAGTTGTCGCCATAAATAAAACACCTCTTCGGGGCCACACTCCCTCTGTCCTGCCTCCATAGCCTCTGGTCCTCGGTTTTCTATAACATGGTCTGTATCTTCTCTGTGTTCTCTGAGTTAACACTTTAAGTCAGCGTCAGGTATGTTCCCGTCATCAATCAGGCTTATCTTAACAAAATTATATCTGTGATAATAGAGTATTAATGGGCTACATGTAGTTTTCCAAATGTACGTGAAAAGAAACAAGACTTAAAACAGAAGCACCCTGAGGCCAGGTCAGGATCCTGTGCACATGTCGGCCACTGGGAGCCGCTGTGGACCCACAGGGACCTGATGGCCCCGCTGTTCCCGGTGTTAGACACTTGAGCAGGAACCCTGTCCCCCACTGCCCCTGCAGCCCCGCCCAGGCTGGCATTCTACAGGGGTGCTCAGCACACATTTCACTGGTTCTGCCTGCAGGTACCGCTCTCCGGGCTCCCATGTGCAGTCGTGGTACAACGAGGTGAAGGACTACACCTACCCCTATCCCCACGAATGCAACCCCTGGTGTCCCGAGAGGTGTTCCGGGGCCATGTGCACCCACTACACACAGGTAAGGCCCAGGAGGCCGGCCATCACCAGTCCTTACGTCCAGGATTCTGGACTGCTGTCTCTGGAGCTGGCTTCCCTGCCGTCGATACTGCTCCAATCACACCCTCCGTTGGTGTCCCCTCTCCTCCCCGTGCCCCAGGATGATGTGTTGCCTCCGGAGGTGCTCACCGGGTGCCAAGCCCCAGCCATGCTTTTATGGAGTTCCATTTCTAGTGTCCTGTGAGATAGCAGCACCCTTGTCCATCACCTGCTGATGGAGGTCCAGAGCAGGGAGATAAGAAACAGGCCTCTGCTCCACCCAACAGAGGTGGGGTGCGTCCGGCTCAGGTGTTTCTGACGGCCCCTCTCCCACCCCCAGGCACCTTCCTCACCATGTTGGCGTGTTTGTATGCAAAGGCTGCTGTGCCTGAGCTGATGGTGTTCATTCCTGGAATCTTCGGGGCTGGGTGTCTTCAAGTACAGCCTCTCCATTATTCAGCTCCGAGAGGAAGGTGATTTGTCCATGCAGTGCACTGAGTGCAGGGGGGCCGGATCTAGAAAGAGCCCTCTTGATCCCGTTTTAAACAACTCCAAAGGGATGTCGGTATAATCAGAGGCAAGTCTGAAAGAACAAGTGATTTGAATCCCACGGGGATGGCTGACCCCGCTGGGATTTCTGGCCACGGTTGTTGTTGGGTGCCATCGAGTCAGCAGTGCCCAGCAGCCTGTGCCGTCCTCAGCATCTCTGGTGTACTCAGGCCCGTTGTTACGGTAGTAGCGGACAGTGCTGCAGAACAGGCGAGGACAGAGGGCTCCCTCTCATCCCGTCCATGCTCCCTTGCAGAGAGGCCAGTCCCAGCCCTCCAGCTCTGACGCCTGCTGTTGTCTTTGCAGATTGTCTGGGCCACCACCACCAAGGTTGGCTGTGCGGTGCACACCTGCCGGCAGATGAACGTCTGGGGCGACGTCTGGGAGAACGCCGTCTACCTTGTCTGCAACTACTCGCCAAAGTAAGAAGCTGAGTGGGGTGTACATGCTCGGAAGCTCTGGCCAGCCTCAGAGCACCCCACTGTCAGTGGCTGTGAGGGCCATCATATTGGTGCCTGTGCACAGCGACCTGTGTCCCGAGATCGGAACCCTGCTCAGTCCTGAGTCATGCGGACAATCTCTGCTCGGCTTCAGGGTGTTGTTTCAGGTGCTGGGCCAGTCCATATTGCTGAGGGTCTTCTGCCCTTCCTGACCCTCTACTTGCAACACAGAGTCTTAGGATTAGTTAGCTGGACAGCGGCTAGGTCGTCAGTCACCGAGAACTTAGGCTCTTTCTGTGTATTGTACAGTCCTCTCTTCACAGGCCCACAGTGGTGGCAGAGCTCCAGACATCGTGTCTTTTGCCTTTGCCTGGGTTCATTAGAGAAGGAAAGAAAAAGTGCACACATGAGAGAGAGGGAAAGTGAGACAGAGACACAGAGAGAGAGAGAAGAGGAGAATTCACCTCAAGGAAATGTCTTACACACTAGTGGAGGCAGGCCAGTCCCAAATCCATAGATGGCAAATCCAGTTGTCAAGCTGGAGGCTTCTTCTGACTTGCGTGCTTACAGGGGCCGATCAACAGACAAGTGACAGGCTGCTGGCTCACGGCACTGCAGAAGCTGGAGCCCCCAAAGTCAAGCACATCAGATGACAGGCTGCTAACCCCAGCAACAAGAACCGGAGGCCAGATGGTGACAGGCCAGATTCAGGACGCAGAGCGACAGATTGATAGAACATTCTCATGTGGTCTGGGGCTGCAGGTCACACCTCCATGGAAATGCCCTTCCTATCTGAACAAGGATGTGACCAGGGAAAGGGCAGGACATGAATGCAGGGGTGACTTGAGTGATGGCATGGTTTAAGTGAGGGTGTGATTCAGGTGAGGGTGTGAGCCATGTTGCCCTTCTGTGGATCTGTGACTCAGTGTAACATCCTACGTTGATCTGCCTGATTAGTGTGTGCAGGTTAGGCTTTACGTAAAAGAAGGCTTTCCCACTCGAGGACCACCATGCCGACGTGTCGTCTTAACCATCACATCCTCCCAAACAGAAGAGCACGCTAGAGAAGGACTCTTCCTCCCCTGGCACACTGTACCCTGAGGTCGTTGGCCAGAGGTAGGCCGACCATGGACAAGGGGAGTAGTTGAAGAGGATCCTCTGTGACCATTGGGACAATGTCAGAAGCAGCAGCAGCTGTTGCCGGGCACCCGGTGAGTCTGCTGGCAGGTGGCCCCTCAGCAGACAGCATCTTCGGAGGCAGTGACTCATGGCAGACCCCTTCCTAGCCAGGCCCGCACGTCCACGCCCTCCTTCCTCCACACTCCTGTATCGCTGCTGTCCTTCATCCCCTCCCTCTCTCCCCTCACTTGCACTGCAGACAGTTTTTCCTGCAGGACTACCGTCCCACTCTGCAGCTGGCAGGTGGCCCCTCCTCAGTGGCCCCTCCCAGAATGTTGCTCAGGGGCAGCATGCAATGGCCGTGACCTCCCTTACTTACCATGCGTCAGAAGTCACTGCGGGAGGTAGCAGAGGGGACTCGCTGAGGTTGGAGGGAAGTAGGCTCCCCACACTGTCTCTGGCTTGTCTGTGGAATCAGTAAGGACAGAGGTTATGTCACTGCTTGGAAGGGACCAAGCTCAGACCCCACAGAATAGGCTGGGGTTCCTGGCAGATTGGCAGGTGGGGGGAGAAGGGACTTTATCTGACTCCCTCATGATGAAATAGATTCTGGGGGTTTGTTGCATCACATGTAACATCCTCATTGCATCAGAAATAGACATCCTTCCCCTATTCAGCCCGCTCCGCCTCTCTTAGAAAGGAGTCATTTACATACGTGTAAAGCGCATGGCCCTGAAATGTACAAAGCAGCACACTGTTGTAGTTTGCGGGGAGGTGTGCTGCCAACCCAAACGTGGTACATCTCTGGAGGTTCGAAGCCACCAGCTACTACAGGGACGAAGATGGGCCCTCTCCTCCCAGGCAGGGTACAGCCTCTCACCCCCGCTGGAGGGTCAGCTGTGCGTCCTTTCCAGCCAGGCAGCAATGACTTTGAGTTTGGATGTATACAGGCACGTCCTGCTTTATCTTATTTCGCAGACAACTGCTTTCTTAACAGCTTGGAGGTCTGAGGCCGCCAGCCCGCACGGAGCAGGGTCTTGGAGCCCTCTTTTCCCTGCAGGATGTACTCACTCTGTACCTTGGTCACGTTTGGGTCCTTGTCACCGTAGTGTAAGCTGTCACGTTGTGACACGATAGATTGTGGCGAACGTAACTTTAAATGCACTGGGAGGCCACACCATCCGTGTGACTTGCTTTGTTGTGGGGTCTGACTGAACCTGCAGTGGATCAGAGCTCTGCCTGTACACATCTAGCATACCTGTGCACACCTAACACACCTGGTACACCTGCATGCACCTGCCATACCTCTGTACACCTAGGATGTCTGTGTATATATATATACTTGCACACCCATATTATTTAAGATATAAGGTATGCTTTATTTACAGTTTTTATTGTCAGGCAGTCTTGAAGTTGAAAGGTGAAAAAGGATTCTTGAATACAGTGTGTGGGGTTTTTCCTTAAAATTGGAATTATTTGTTGCAGGTATACAGGAAATAACTGAGTTTATAGATTGATCCTGTATCTTGTGAATTACTATCCCTGTTTGTTTATTCAGGAGTGGGGGGGCAGTTGTCCATCCCTTGGCATTTTCACTGTAGCCTGTCATGCTCTTTGAATAGAGACAGTTTTCTTTCTTTCCCCGCCAGTATCTTTTAAGTGTTGATGTGATTTCCTTGGCACCAGCGTGTCTGTTTATACGTGTATAGGTACCACCCCGACTACCACCCTCATACCCTCGGCAGTGACCACACCCCAGCCCTGTTTCCCATCCATCTTTTGTCTGACTTGAACCTCATGAAAATGGAGCCACAGATAAGCCTTCTATTGGCCACCTATCTTGTCCAGCCCCGCACCTGTGGGATTCACGCGTGTTGGTGGCGTGTGGTGGGCGTGCTGCAGCCTTGCTTATTTCTGGGTGCTGTTCCAGTGTCCACAGACGCTTGCAGGTCTTAAAGAGAAATGGTGCGGCCCCACGTGGAACAGCGTGCCCCGCTCCCTGGCGTGGGTTAACGGCCAAGGGCAGGCCGGGTAGTTGAGTGTGTCCACCTCCTGGACACTAAGTGACCACATTCAGGGGACACTGGGACAACAGAGGCTTGCAGGCTGCTGGACAATCACGAGTTGCCCACTGCCCTTGTGTTAGTCCTGACTCACATCGGCCTGTACAATGGACCCCACAGAGCGTCCAAGGTTGTTGTCTTCGTGAAAGCGGATGCCCCGTCTTTCTCCATAGAAGAGACTGGTGGACTTGAACTACTGAACACACTACCCATCACTGGACAGATGACCGTCTAAGTGGTTGGAGAAGTGGCTTATCTCTGAGGACCTAGGCGGCTCTGGAGAGAGGAGTCCCTGAGTCGTAGAACAGTTATGTGCCGGGAGGCTGGGCTCTATGAGGAGAAGTCTGGCATCAGGATTGGTGGAAGATCTATTAACAATCTGCATTATGCAGATAACACAACCCTGCTTGCTGAATCTGAGGAGGACCTGAAGTGCTTGCTGCAGAGGGTCAAGGACTGCAGCCTTCAGTATGGACTGAGGTTCAATGTCAAGAAGACAGAAATTCTCACCGCTGGACCAATTGGCAGCATCAGGATGGATGGTGAAGAGACTGAGATTGTTAACAACTTCAGTTTGCTTGGCTCCACTGTCAACACTCTTGGCACCAGCAGCCAGGAAATAAAAAAAGCTATTGCCATGGGAAATTCTGCTGTTAGGGACCTCTCCAGGGTACTGAAAAGCAATGGTGTTACTCTGGAGAGTAAGGTGCGTCTGATATAGGCTATGGTCTTTGCAATCACTTATTATGCTTTCGAGAGTTGGACAATGACTAGGGAGGATAGAAGGACAATTGATGCCTTTGAGCTGTGGTGTTGGAGAAGAGTATTGAATGTACCATGGACTGCCAAGAAAACAAACAGATTCATCCTGGAGAGGGTTAAACCAGGCTGCTCCTTGGAGGCAAGGATTCTGGGGCTTTGTCTGACATACTTTGGACATGTTATAAGGAGGGACCAGTCCTTGGAGAGGGACATCATGCTTGGGAGGGTGGAGGGACAGCATAGGAGGGGAAGACCCTCTATGAGGTGAATTGATTCAGTGACTGGGGTAATTGGGATGGGTGTGTCAGAGGCAGTGCGATTGGCACAGGAGAGAGCAGGGTTTATAGAGCTGTTGTACATAGGGTCGCTATGAGTCTCAAGCAACTCAATGGCACATAACAACAATAAAAGGTGGGCAGTTCAGACCCACCCAGCTGTGCAGCAGAAGAAAGGCCTGGTGACCTGCTTCTGGAAGGTCACAGCTTTGAACGCCCTGTGGCGAGGTCTGCATACGCGGCATCGCCGTAGGTCACGTGGGCTGCAGCTCTAGAAGAGGGGTGAAAGGGCAGAGTGACCCGAATCGCATGGAGACAGCCCCTGCCCCCCAGTCCCCAGTCACCTGCTGCTGGGGGATCACACCTGAGTCTGGGTGGGTGGACTGGGCTGTGTGTGCACACCTGGTCATAGCCTCTGTCTTGCCATACACTTACGGGACCCCAAGAGTGCCGGGCTTTGTGTGATGTTGTACGTAGCTGAAAGGACCTTCAGACTGCCCAGCCCTCCCAGCCCTCCATCCCTAGTCTGACGCCCAAGTGGCGCTGGGCGATGGCACTTTAGTGTTTCAGCTAGAAGTGTCTCTGGCCCACACACAGGGGCACCTTCATGGTCTGTCCAGCCAGCAGACCCAGCCTTCCCTGCCTCCCACCCTCGCTGGGAAGTTGAAGAGAAGTTCCCTGCACAAGGATATTTATTAAGCAAACCCTTTGCCGTGTGCCAGACCCTGGCCTTGGAGTGTCTGTGTGGCTGCCCCGCAGCCCGGCACGCAGGCACTGTCACTGTCCCCAGAGTGCAGGACACGAGCCTGGATGTGGCCATGGACATGCCATCAGCAGGGTCGGGGGTCCAGCTCTTTGCAGGAGGACAGGGGCTCAGGGGCTGGGATGTGGCTTCAGTCACACAGTCGCAGAGCTGGGTCTGATTCTTTGCAGCTTGTCCTCAAGGAGGTACTGGTCATCTGAGAAAGCGGCCTACCACCTCTTTACTGAATGAAAGGAACCTGGTTCTAGAAATTGCCTTCCTGGTCAGCTGCCAGTCTCGGTCACTTGAGAAGGCCCAGGCACTGCAGGAGAAGGGTGGGAAACCCACTGGGCCAGCCCAGGACCCCAGCAGAAGCCCTGTGTGCAGCCTCCAGGTTCCCGTCTTGAGGGTCCCAGAGGAGAGCCAGTGTCGCCCCCAGGACCAGCATGAGGACCTTGGCCCCACCCTTAGAGCCGCAGTCAGATGCTGGCTGTGTGTCCTCAGAGGAGCTGCTGACTCTCTCTGTGCCTCAGTTTACCCTCCCCCCGGCAAAGGCGTGCACCCCAGCAGTTACGGCTTCTGGCACGTGGTGCAGTGACTGCATGGCACGTGCTGCCCCCTCTCACTGTTCCCGCTGCTGCTCTCTGATGCCGCCCACTGGGAAGTGGCTGGAATGGGGTCCCACTCATGTCCCTGCAAAGGCTGGGACTCTAGGGGCGCCTGTGACACGAGGTGCAGGGAGGAGAACCGCTGCAGGAGGAAGGGCCATCTGTGCACACGTTATAACAGGACACTGGTGCAGGGTGGAGGGGCCTGGAGAATTCTCTACACCGTGTACACAGGGGCCCTGGCAGCGGCCCTTCCACCCCCCACTGCTCTGTGTCCATCCTAACCGTGTCTCTGTCCGTCTCTAGGGGCAACTGGATTGGAGAAGCCCCCTACAAGAATGGGAAGCCCTGCTCGGAGTGCCCCTCTAGTTATGGAGGCAGATGCAAGGACAACCTCTGTTACCGAGGTAGGGAGCACCAGGCACAAAGGGAGAGCGTTTAACGACAAAGTCAGTGTCGCCCCTGTTCCAGGAGGAAGCAGCCAGGAGAGGGTGCAGGGAACGGTGTTTTCAGTGGGGGAACAGCGTGTACAGAGGCCTGCATGCAGGAGGGTGGGAGATAGACGTTTTTACTTAGACCTCACCTCTGGGTCCTCTGAAGGCAGCCGCCACGTAGCCAAGGAGCGCGTGTTTGTTCAGGGGCTCCCCAGTCACCCACTCTTTGTCCTTATCTTCGAAATGAGACTCCCCCAATACGTCCCCCTCTGAGTCCTGGCTTCGAGGGCCATGCATGAGCTTAGTGTTCAGAATTCGCCTGTACCACATGACAGCAGTGGGCATACCTCTTCACGTTTCCTGGCCTCGATCTTCCCGTCTGAAAAGGGGTCCAAATGCCTGCTTTGGGGGTGACTGAGGACTGGCTTTGATGCGTGCCAGGTCCTTCTCCATCTTCCCACTCAGACTAGTCATCATAAAGGTCACCCGGAAGGTCAGACCCCTGTCAGTGAAGATGAGTAAGGGGTGATGCTGGCGTGCCCTGAGCTGTAGGTTCACACAGGATTGCATCGCAGCGGTGTCAGCCCCTCGTTAATGGTGAGGCCCAGGCAGACAGAGGGGAGTGTGTGCTCGGGCACCCTCCCTGCCCTTGGTGGTCTCAGCAAACGCATCTGTAGCCGCGATCACGTGCTGAGACGGTCCAGACCCTTACACAGGGCTGTGTGCACACACTCGTTTGCTCCTGCACAAGTCAGGGATACAGCTGCACCGAACCTCCTGAAAGAGCACCCCGTTTCCTGGTGGAGCGTAGTGTCCACCTCCCGGTCTCGAGGTCCCTTGTTCATCCCAGGAGCCTTACAAGTGCCAGATGCTCTCTGGGGACATACCTTGGGCATCGTACCTCCTCCAGGAAGCCTTCCCTGACTTACACGGAGCATCTGCTTTCAGGTTTAATTGCCCCTGAGTAAGGCCTGCCCAGTCCACTCCGGGGCCTCTGGGGCTGAAGCCCCCGCACTGTGCCCACTGTCTAAACACACGCGGGCAAACCTTGGGGAGGCCCAGTTTTGGAGCAGACCACCAATAGCGAACACCAGAGTGGGGTGCGTGTCGCACATTTTTTGCTTCCCAGCGCGTGTAAACGAGGCTGACGCTGTCCCACAGCCCCCGTGCAGCTGTGTGATGAGCGTCTGAAGTACCGTGAGCATCGCCAGAGTGGGCAGGACTCAGAGCGAGCAGAGGCACCAGCAGGCTTGCTCGGTGTGGGATCAGCACAGAGCTTCAGCGTGTGAGAGAGGCCGGATCTGAGAAGGGCTGTAGAACAGGGTGTGCCAGCACACCTCAGACCCGCAGAGGGTCCCAGGCCAAGCACCAGCGCGCACGAGGGTGCCTCACCTAAGCTGCGCTGTGCCTGCACGCCCTACGCTTCCAGAGTGTCCTGAGCCAAGCCCCCGTGCCTGCAGAGGAGGACCTTCCATAAAACGAGGTGTCCCTGCACCCCCAGACCCACAGAGGGTCCTCCAAGCACAGGTGCTCACAAGGGGGCCTCACATAAAAGGAGGTGTACCCACACACCCCTCACCTACAGAGGGTCCTAGGCCAAGCACTGGTGCACGTGGAGGTGTCTAATGTAAAATGAGGTACACCAGCACACCTCACACCTGCAGAGGCTGCCAAGGCCAAGCACTAGTATAACGGGTGCCTCACGTAAAAGGAGGCGCCTGCCCACCCCACACGTGCAGAGGCCTCTGAGCCGAGCACCGGTGCACTCAGGGTACCTTAGCCACCATTCACCTCTCCGGTGCCCAGACAGCTGTGTTTTTGGTGGCAAATGCCCAGCTTCGCTTGGCCAACTTCCCACCTGTGGGCTAGAAAGTCTCCTCCAAAGCAGCTTATCTGCATGAACCACTTAGCAGCATTGATTGTGGCTGCGTGTGAGGCCCTGACCTCCAATGGAGAGGAAGCAGGATGGGCACAGAAAGGACTTTCTTCCCCTCCTGGCAGGGCAGTAAAGGCTGTGGCTCCCCGGGGCTAGAGCTTGAGCAAGTCACTGCTCCCCTAGTGCCTCGGTGTGCCTGTCTGTGAAATGGGCCAGCCGTGCTCCTAGAACGTGGAGGATATTTTACACAAGAGTTCAGGACAGAGCCAAGAGCAGCTGGGACCCAGTGGGGACATTTGGTAATTGCTTTCAAGTTTCCTCCAACTCAAGGTGACCTTCGGGAGGACAGGACCAAGCCATGTACTCTCTTAATGGTCTGCTAAAGTCCTTTGTTTCAACCACTGGGCTTCCGTCCCTGGGGGTCCCTGGTGATGCAGTGGTTAAAGTACAAGGCTACTCACCAGAAGGGTAGTAGTTTTAAGCCAGCAGCCACTCCTCCGGAGGAGACGAGGCCGTCTGCTTCCGTGGATTTGCAGCCTCGGGAGCCCTGGGGGGCAGCTGCACTCACTCTGTGCTGTAAGGCTTCTGTGGGCTGGGGTCGGCTCATTGGTGGGGGTAGGTTTCCGTCCACCTCAGGACTCGCTGTCCAGCGCTGTGTGACATTATTCTCTCGTGACCCATTCTGACACAGTGACTGCAGTGGTGGGGCGAGCACAGTGGACAGCGTGAGGACACACAGGGTCAGGCAGGGTCTCCGTCTGAGCACAGTGGACAGCGTGAGGACACAGGGTCAGGCAGGGTCTCCTGATGCTCACGGGGTCGCTGTGAGTCACAGTTGGCTCAGAGACATCCTAACAGCGTCACCACCAGGCCTTTCTCCCTGGTCTTAGTCTAGAAGTGCCACTGAAACGCACAGGTGGCCCTGCTGGCATTTGAAACACCTGTGGGAGACCGCCCAGCATCACACACTCACATGGGGTGTGGAGTCCATGGGGCGTGTAAATGCCCCGCACCCTGAGATCCTTCATCCAGAGCCAGATGGTGCGGATAGTGCAATCCGGCCAGGCACTCGGGCGAGGGTCCTCCTGGGGCCGTCCTCACCCTGACCTCCGCGTGGGAGCAGCCCTCTTCCCACGTGTGGGGACCCTGTCTGCCAGGCTTCTTGCCATGGGCTCTATTTTCAAGCTTGTCATGATGTTTGGGGGTCCAGTTTGGAGGATTTTTTAAAAAACATGTTTAGTAATGAACATTTAGGGCTTTTCTGTGTCTTTCTGTAACTTGGTGGCTCAGAATGGCAGATACTTTTTCCAAAACAGGAGTTGGGTCTTGGATGGTCAGTAGACGATGAGCTGGCTAAGAGTCCTGCCTCTTGGGGTGAGGAGGGAGCAGGATACGGTGCAGGGTGCACTTTGTGGGTCCCAGAGCCTGGCATGGTCCAGTGGCCCCACCATGATGGGTGTACACAGAGGCTGAGGACACTCTTGACGGAGAACTTGGGACAGAGACGCAGCAGCACTGTGAGGCTGCCTCCAGGAGCAGGTGGGGAACAGGAAGCCGGCACAGCGCTCCCGGTGAGGGCCTGGCCTCTCGCTCAGTCACTCTAGCTCCCCAGGTCCAAGGTGAGCCCCACTGGGAGGATGCCTCCTGGCCCTGCCCTCTCTGAGGCAGAGCTTTCCCCCTCCCTGAAGTGATCGTCTGTGGAGTGACCTCTGGTGCGTGTAGTTCGCAGCTGGTTTTGGTGAAAAAGGGCAATTCTGTTAGATCCTGGTATTTATGTGTCTCTGCTTCCCCCCCTCTTCTGGCTTAAGGCTCATACAGTGCAAACCCAGAAACGGACGACATGAACGAGGTGGAGGTGGCCTCGCTTCCAGAAGAAAACCAAGGGCCGATCCAGCCGAGGGTGGTCAGGCCCACCAAGGCCAGCAGGACTTCCTCGACCAGCTACATGGGTGGGTCCCTCCTCCCTGTGTGCCTCAGGCTCTCCTCTGGGGGGGGGGCAAGAAGCCCTCAAGTCCACACAGTGCAAAACAGGGGAGGTGTCACATGCAAAAATCACTCCAAGACGTTTCTGAGAAAAAGAATTGGTATTTTTTTTATTTTAGAGAGTGTGTGTGTGTGTGTGTGTGTGTGTGTGTGTGTGTGTGTGTCCCATCAAACCGGATCTGACAGGTACAGGAGGAGATTGCCCCTCCTCCAGCAGAGCATCTGGTAGATTCGAACCTCATACCTCTGGGATTGCAGTGCAGCTTCTTGCCACTAGGCCACCAGAGCTCCCTAAGAATTGATATTTTAAAGTCATTTCTCAAAGCCAGCCTCATGGAAGCTGCATTTGGGTCCCTTTTCCCCATCAGGCGGGTGTTTTAAGGTTCTACTTTCCCTGAGCTTTTTAAGGGGGACTTGGGATTGGATCCAGAAACCCATCCCCGGGAAGCACTGCGCCTGCCCTTCCTGCAGCATTGCTCTGGATGCACCGCAGGTGGGGCAGGGGTGTTCTAGCCCCAGTTCATGCCCCAGGTTTCTTGCCATGACAGGCATTTCTGTATTTCTCTCCTAGCCCAGGTCGTCAGGTGTGACACCAAGATGAAGGACAGATGTAAAGGTTCCACCTGCAACAGGTAACATGTTGCCTTCCTCCCACCCTGCTCCCACTGTAGCCCTTGGAGGCATCTGCTTGGACACCCTCCAGTTGAGCAGGGTTGCATTAGAGGGTCTGCCCACCTTCTGAGTCTCCACACACCATCCCTGTTAAATCTCAGTGAGATGCATTTTCAGGGCGTATTGCGGCTATCACAGAAATACCACAAGGAGGTGACTTTTTTAAAAATGTTTTGGTTTTTTTATTGATTTTTTCTTATTTAATTAAAGTTTACAGAGACATAGCATTTTCAGTTATTCATAGTTGCACTTTTCTCCCTACCCACCCCTCTCCCCAATTCACTCTTCTCTTTTAAAAGAAAAAAAACCTCTTTCATTGTTATGCAGTCTCTCCCCCCAAGTGCAGTCCAATATGCAGCCTTCACTCTGCATGTCTGTAATAACAAGAACACCCGTTCATAAATCCCTTTTAAACAGTTCTCTCCCTCATCTGTTTCAATGTAGTATACATCATTCCTTCCCTTCTTTTCTGTCTTCTCTCAACACCAGTGTCAGTCTCATTCTATAACAGTGGTACTATGCAATATTGGTCCTTTGTGAATGAGATATTTCACTCAGCATAATGTCCTCCAGGGTCATCCGTTTTGTATATTTCCTGAGTTCCTTGTTTTTCAATGCTGCAGAGTATTCCACTTGGGTTGTTTCCAGCTCTTTGCTATTGTGAACAAAGCCGCAGTAAACATGGGTGTGCGTGGTGCTTTATATTTGTAATTTGTGCCTTCATGCCCTCACACACACACATACATATGCATATGCACACATACATGCATGTTGGTGTTAGCTGCCAGTGACTCCCAGCAACTCTCTGAACAGTAGGTCTGAGCCTGGTCCTGACCTGTGGCACCTCATCATCCCCGGCATGGCCAAGCCCACTGTAGTGGTCATCGGGTCAGTCCCTGTTGTTGAGGGGTTCCCTCTCTATCTGTGACTCTCCCTTTCCCAGCACGATCCCTCTCCAAGCATTGGTTCATCCTGACAGCATGCCCCAAATGACTAAGATGACATGTCCCCATCCTTGCCTCTAAGGGACACTCTGGTGGTACTTCTTTTGAGACTCTGGTTTCTTGGACAGTCCACGTACTCAGTCTTGTGTATTCTTCACCACCATCACAATTCAAAGGCGTCAATCCTCTCCTGTTTCCTTTATTAATTGTCCAACTTTGGGATGCATAGGAAACAATTGACAAGACCTTGGCTTGGAGCTGGTGCACCTTAGTCTTTACACTGACATCCTTGCTCTTCAGAGCTTTGTTTTTTTTTTTTTATGTGCCTGTCCATTTATTTTTTTTTTTTATGGAAAAGTAAAAGAAAAGATTCTTTCATTGTTTTACAAACCCTCCCCCAGGTCCCCTCCACCATGCAGCCCTCGCTCTAGTCTCCTGTGATGACAGAAACACCCAGTTACATCTCTCTTTTAAACGGTTCTCTCCCTCCTCTGTTTCAGTGCAGTATACATTATTGAACCCATCTTACTCAGTCTCTCCCCAACCCCAAGGACAGTCCCATTCTACAACAGTGGCATCATGTAATATTTGTCCTTTCTCTTCAGAGCTTTGGAGAGCTCCTTGGCAGCAGGTTTCCCCAGTGCGACACACCTTTTGATCTCCTGACTGCTGTCACCGTGGGAATTGTGTGTGTGTCTAACTAAACTAAAATCGCTGACAATGCCAGTCTTTTCTCCCACCTGTCGGTCCAGTGGTGAGGAGCACTGCATCCATGCTCACACGTACATACACACAGACATGGAAACACACACATACGTACACGCACAGACTTACTGGGGTTTCTTTTTTTGGTGAGAAAAAGTTGTATTTAGAATTAGCCCGCTGGACTCAGTTTAGATGATCCCAATTTTCTTGGCAACATCCAAAGCATCATGGGCAGGAGCAAGTCGAACATAGGCCTTCTTCTCTCCATCAGGCCTAATCAGAGTGTTGACCTTGGCCACATCAATGTCATAGAGCTTCTTTACAGCTTGTTTAATTTGGTGCTTGTTGGCCTTGACGTCCACAGTGAATACAAGTGTGTTGTTACCTGACTTGATGCTGGCACAGTCAGTGGTCAAGCTTGTTTCTCCTGGGGTCGCTCTTCCAGGGGTATTTGGGCTGCCTTCGGAGTCTCAGCGTCTTAGGCCGCTGGAAGGTGGGTGAGGTGCAGGTCTTCTTTTTTTTTTTTGGCTGTGAATGCCCTTCAGGACGCCTTCTTGGCCTTTAATGCCTTTGCTTTGGCTTCAGTTTTGGGAGGTGCAGGGGCTTCCTTCTTCGCTTTCGGCGCCATCTTCGTAGAAAGGCCTCACTGGATTTTTTAAGCCAGTGTTAAGCTATCAAAAGAAACAACAAAAGGATAAAGTAGTGGGCCCCGAATCTCCCAGTGCGGGCAGCCTGACCCACACCCTCTGTCCAGTCTGTTTTCTGTGCATTAGTGAGGCCAGTTTTGTTTACTGTCATGGACACTTCATCCTTTCCACCACCAGCTGACGTTCTGCAAAAGCAGCAGAATGTGCTGAAGGCGCCCTGGTGGTGCTGTGGACTGAGCACTGGGTTAGAGTGATTGGAAGTTTGAACCGCCAGCGTCCCCATGAGAAAAAGAGGCAGGCTGCTTCCTAAACCGTTTCCAGCTGTGGGGATGCGGCGGGCAGTTCTGCTTCGTCCTGCAGGGTCCTCGACTGTGGCCACAGGTTTGCTTTTTTAGGAGTTTGCCGTGTGTCTCAGGAGCTCTGGGGCCTCGCCCTCGGGACTTGGCCTCTAACCCGAAGGCCACGCCTGGGGCTCCTCCACGTTGATGTTCAGCCTCAAGCCCAGTGGAGGGTCAGTTCCCACTTGGCTCCAACTGAGCAGCCGCTGGTCGGGGCGTTGCAGGCGCTCTGGGGGTCGTCTCTAGGCCGTTGTGCAGCTGGCTTGAGGCAGCGCCTCTCCGGAGGTTCAAATCCTCCCGCCGCTCTGTGGCAGGAAGGTGGGCCGTCTCTTCCACGTGACTTAGTCTCTGAAAACTCCAGTCCATTCTGCCTCAACGGCAATGAGTTGAGCTGAGTTCTTTTTTTTTTTTTAAAGGATAAAGTAGTAAGCGATTTATTAGAAGTTACATCCGCAAAGGGCTGGACCTCCCTCCTTGAAATATGGTGGAGAGGCTGAGCTGAGTTGTTGAGCGTGTTTTGTGTCGGGTTGCTAACCAGAAGGTCAGCAGTTCGTGCCCACCAGCCACTCTGTGAGTGAAGGGTGGGTGGCCTCCTCCCGGTGAGATCCTCAGACACCGGGGAAGGTTCCCCACAGCAGGAGGGTCCCCGGAGCAGGAGTGGACTCGGTGGTGGTGGGCTCGTCTGTGGACACCAGAGCGCTGACTGGAGGAGCAGAGGCTCTGTGCTTGGTGAAGGGCGCCCACCCCCGACCCCCAGCCTGCTAAGCGCTGGTCTCCCCTCTTTCTCCACCAGGTACCAATGCCCAGCAGGCTGCTTGAGAAGCAAGGCGAAGATTTTTGGGACGGTCTTTTATGAGAGCGTGAGTGTGGCCGGCGCCCCGCTGGGTGGGCTCCAGCCCCACTGGTGGGCTTCTGGGCCTCTCTGCCCTTCTGGGCACGCCCTTTGATCTGCTCGGAGCTGACACAGGGCTGCGGCCCTCCCGACAGAGCTGTCTCCACTCGAAATGTCGTTAGTATGCTCCAGTGGAGGCGGAGAAAGAGCTGTTTGTCTCTGCCCACGGCTCCTAACGCGGCTGGGATGAACTGTGTGAGATAAGAAGGCCAGGAACAAAGACGCGGTTATGGGGAGAGGGCAGGGTGGGAAAGGGCAGCTTGATCCTGTCTCCTCGGCTTCTCGTGGGGTGGGGCTGGACACCCTGGGCGCCGCTGACCAAGGTCATTCAGGTTCTGTCTGTGGTCTTGTCGCCCCGCCCCCAGTCATCTAGCATCTGCCGTGCTGCCATCCATGCGGGGGTCATAGACGACAACGGGGGTCTGGTGGACGTCACCAGGAACGGGAAGGTCCCCTTCTTCGTGAAGTCGGACAGGAACGGCGTGGAGTCTGTCAGGTGACTGTCCCTCAGCCTGACCAAGCAGGGCCCGTCCACTGGCCGGACGTGAGGTGCCCCGTGTGCCAGAGAGGAATTGTTCCATGGGGCCTTCGACGGCTCTGCCCTTTCAGACGTGGCTTGCCAGGCCTTTCTTCTGAGGGCCTGCACGTGGACTCTTACTGCTGGCCTCTCGCTGAACGGCCGAGCATCCTGCCAAACGCAAGACGACCTTCACGGGAGCGCACCGCTTTGTCTTTCTCCTGCAGAGCATCCAGTGGATTCGAACCACTGACCTGTGAGCTAGCAGGCAACTGCTTTAGCAGCTGTGTCCCAGCTGTCCTTGCTCTGGAACCAGGCTTCAGGCTCTCCGGTGGGTGGCTCGGTGCGAGAAGGGGAAGGCGGTCTACTCCCCACGAGAGTTTCAGCCCTGGAAACACTGGGGGCATCTCTGCCCCGTCCTGCCAGGTCACTGGGATCAGAACTGCGTGAGCGACGGGGGCTTGCTTTGGGTTCTTGTGCAGACACTGATGCAAGCTGAATCGCGGCTTTGTGCCATGGGCCTTTGCTGGAAGGGAAAGCTGGCCACAAAGCTGGGGTGTTTGCAGGTGACCTTCACCATAGGAGCTCAGGGGGCTCCCGACAGCCTCTGCAGGGGTGGCAGTGTCCAGGCCTTCTAGAAGGTGCCCTGTGCCGCCTTACCCTGTGCACAGTGGGCCCTGCAGATCAGCGTCATTTCAGAGTTAGACGGTGATGTTAGCAGGTGGTGACCAGTTTCCTTTGTCATCTTCTGAATTTCTTTTATATCTGAGAAAACTTATTCCAAGAAGTTAACCATGTCCCAACAGAGAGGTCTGTGCACCAAAAAAAGGCTAAGAAACCCTCTTCTAGAGAGTTCTAAGAGCGTTTGAGTTGATATAAAGATAGATGTAAAATCAAGGTTGTTGATAAAATAAGTACAGGAGCCGGGGACCTTGTGACAGCCGCTTTAAAAACCCCAGGCCATAGGCACTGAGTCAGGACAGACTTGCAGCTGCCCCAAGGGTCTCCAAGGCCGAAATCTTGACGCAGGGAGGAGCAGTTCTGTTGGCATTTACCATCTCCTGGTGTTTTGTTTTGCAGCAAATACAAAGCTTCCAGTTCATTCATGGTGTCAAGAGTGAAAGGTGAGCTGGCCACTTTTCCCTGGACCACAACCCATGGTTTAGCGTGCATTTCCCTGGAAAGGTCATGCCCTGAACTGTTGGTCTCATGGTCCCCTCTGACTTTGCCAACCTCAGCACGTGCTTGCTGCCTGTTTTTATAACGTCTTACTGGAACAGAGCCGGGCCCATTCATCCACATATACATCATCTATAGGTGCTTTCTGCTACATCGGAAAGTTGAGTAGTTGACCAGGGCCTCGAAGCAGTTCAGAATGATTCACGAATCGTGGCCGTTCGCAAGGGTGGAACGTGCTGAAGCCACCGAATCGCCCATATCAGCGAGGAGAGAATAGCAGGACCTTGGAGAGCGACAGCCATGGTGGCCCTTCTGATGCAGGGAGACTCTATAGGAGCAGACCGCCCATCTCTCTTCTGTGGAGTGGCTGGTGGATTTGAACACATGGCCTTTCATGTAGCAGCCCAGCACGTTACACAAGTGCTCCCAGTTTGTTTCAGACCAAAGTAGAGCAGATGTGGTTGCAGTGCGGCAAAGACCTGCCTCTTCTCACCGCTGCCCGACGGCCGTGGAGAGCAGACAGGCTGCCCCTCTGAAACTGCTCGCTGTCCGGCTCTTTACCACGTGGTTTTCTGACCCCTGAACTGCACAGAGGAAGCCCGGCAGTGGGACTCACCCCCTCAGAGCTGCGAAGAGGGCACCGGGCTGGGACCCCACACCCATCAAGGCCCGAGAGGCCGCAGAGTCCTCTTGGGGTGACTGGTGTGGCCACCCACCGTCCCCAAGATCTCACAGCGTAGAGCAGGAAGGCCCGGCTCGGATGAGAGGAGCCCTGGTGGCGCAGTGCATGAGCACTCAGCTGTTAACCAAAACGGGACAGTTGAAACCCACCAACTGCTCATGGGAGAACAACGTGACCGTCTGCTTCTGTCAGGGTCACAGGCGTAGAGAGCCCACGGGGCAGTTCCCCTCTGCCCTCAGGGTCACTGGAATTCTGAATCAGCTTCAAGACTGGGTTTGAAGTTCAGATGAGAAATACTGTCTGTCCCCCAGAAGCCACTGAAGGAGATCACCCCACAACCCGTCCCATAAACCAGAGACCTTAGTTCGTGGTGGGATCCAACCTAGCCGAGGGACACGGTAGAACTTGTTTCCCAGGCTGGCAGCCTGAGACAGTGACCGTTTCTGATGTGTTCTGTCTGCAGTGCAGGACCTGGACTGCCAGACCACCGTCGCCCAGCTCTGTCCATTTAAGAAGCCGACCACCCACTGCCCGAGGTGAGCCATGGGGCGGAAATGAGGTGGGAGCTGGCTGGGCTCAGGGCCTGGGGATGGGGTGTGCTCTCTGTCTGGGCCTTGCTGTGGGAAATCGGGCCAAGAGAAGACAGTGCCATGCTGGCTGGGCGCCGTCTCATCAGAGAAACATCTCTTCTCACCGGGGCCGTCCAGGAAGGCAGTTACCCACGCTCAGTCTAGAACCACAAGATCTTTCCTTTGACCAGTGCGTCTCCACCTGGATTCCCTGGGAGCGTGGAAACACAGCTTCCTGGACCAGTCCCTTCAAATATCTGAGCAGGTTCCAGCCACCGGCACCCGCATTCTGTCAGATCTCCCTGTCTTCCATGGACACCGTGGCCGCCAAGGAGCCTAGAGAAACTCTGGTGTCACGTGCCTTCAAGTAGATTCCAGTTAACAGTGACCGTGTGAACAACCAGAGGAAACAGGACATCTGCACCATTCACCCGGATTCACAGTGACCGTGTGTGTGACGGAGGAAACAGGACGTCTGCACCATTCACACTGATTCACAGTGACCGTGTGTGTGACCAGAAGAAACAGGACGTCTGCACCATTCACACTGATTCACAGTGACCGTGTGTGTGACGGAGGAAACAGGACGTCTGCACCATTCACACGGATTCACAGTGACCGTGTGTGTGACCAGAGGAAACAGGACGTCTGCACCATTCACACTGATTCACAGTGACCGTGTGAACGACCAGAGGAAACAGGACGTCTGCACCATTCACACGGATTCACAGTGACCGTGTGTGTGAC